ATGCACCTCCGGGGACGGAGAGTGGCAAGGAGCGCCCCCGGCTCGTGGGGAGCCTGCCACCGCTGCCAGCGCAAGACGGGAGCAGCCACCTGCCCTCGCCACGGCTCCCGCCCCCTCCAGACCAGCCCCGCAGGTCCAGGCGTGGCGTCCTCGGCAGCGGCAGCCCGGGGAGCGTGCCGGTGCCCTGCTGCTCCTTCTGCATGGAATTCCTTTGGAAGAACAAATACTGCCAGCTGCCAGCAGCTACTCACTGCTGCAAGACTGTTCCAGGGGATCTGTATCTGGGATGAGCAATTATGGGGGGAAAGACTTTGTCTTATGAGCTTGCTTGCACACTGTAAAAGTAGTAACAGCAGCAATAATATGTAATTACACAAGTGGAGCCAGATTTCTTTCCATTATATCTTTCTTCACTGCTCTCAAGAGAAGCGCAGCTCAAAGATGCAACATTTTCACATGATAGGACCAACCTAGAAGCTTCTTCCACCAATTACAGTCTCTTGCACTACACTGTAAGGATAACGAGTTCATTGCATGCACCCAGAATCTATTATAATACACCAGGACTACTGGATCCCACTCCTAAGAAGACAAAAGAATTACAATATCACAAATTTTAAACTGAGAACAAATACGTAGAGAGTATTGTAGTGGAATTTCCAACATGTAGAGAGTATTCTAGCAGAATTTCCACAGAAAAACCCAGTCACTTAATGGCAAAATCCTGCCAAGCAAAAAACCCGTAAGATTTCAGTGACCCGTAAAGCACACATCTTTTCAAGTACAGCCAGAAATAGCACTGCTTTCACTAGTCTGCAGACAACATCAGTGCCTCAGCAGACATCACAGCTTTCCAGAGTGGCTATTTAAGCAAAGCTGATCAAGCCATCACTTAGCAAAGAGTATTCAGAAGGCTGCGGGGAGAGGCTGAGGCGGCAACCTGGTGCCCCAGAGCTCATGGTCTCCCCAGTCCCACCACTACCAAGTGGCAGCGGCTGAAGGAGACAAGGAAAACTAAGCACAGGAAGAATCCAAGTGCTCTGGCACCCATCCCACGGGGAATGGTCTCTTTCTCTCCCAGGAACCAAAGTACGGATGCACGTGGCTCCTGGAAGGGCAGAGGCCAAACCTGACACTGTTAGGTTTTGGGAAAGCACCAAGAGAGACGGGTAGCACTTCCTCCTGGAAAGGGGTGCATGGGGGTAAAAGGACTAAATAACAAGGAATCTTCTCCACAAGGAATCACCCTGGGTTTCATTTGTGATACCTTGCAACCTCTGGCTGGTTGCGACAAACAAAAGAAAAAAGAAGCGCATAGAGAAGAAGATTAAGTAATTTAGCAAGAAGCAGATAAGGATCTCCACTGCACATCTATGACTCAGCGTAACTAACATCTCTGTATTTCAACAACTAATTTGTTAATGCTGTTTCAAGATGATATTTCTCTATAGCCAGCAAAGCTGGGTTGCTCTTCTGATCTGGGGCAGCAGTAAGTTATGCAAAATCCCTGTTCTGGGTCACTGATTCTAGAGACATTTTTCCCCACCACAGCTTCAAAAATAACTCTAACCACCCTTTCTTGCTCTTTTGAAAACAAATTGAAAAAACAAACACACACACAATTCTGCTGGCAACATCTGCAAGTCATCCGGAGAACAGGCAAGCCTGAAGGTTGTCACAGGCATGAAATTCAGTTTACCAGTGTAACGCCACCCAGACCCGCACAGAGCTGGCTTAGCAAACCACCAGCAGCAAGCGCGGCTCCGCACCACAGCTTCCTGCTTTCTACATCTTCACTTGCTATCAGCCAAATCTAACCGTCTCGGCTGCTGCTGCACTTGCATAGACAGTTTTATACTGCAGAGTCTAACCATGGTTAGGCTATCCAAAACAGAAAAAAAAAGCCTCAAATCTGTCTCTTAATGGCATTTTTATAAGAATTATAACAGAAAAAGTGATACACTGCACAGCATCCTCATTACTTTGCAATCCAAATTTTGTACTTTATAACCAAAAAATATAAAGTAAAAGCTTTCTAGCTAGAAACTCACACCAAAAATGAATTTTATGCCATATAAATGAAAAATGCAACTGTGCCTGCCACCTGCTCTTTTCCAACTGTTTTCAAAGAGCCAAACAGAAAATCAGGATCCATCCATACGTCTCTCATGCACACTTCTATTTCTACATTAAAATAATCAAAATGGAAAGGAAAAGCAAACAAAGAAAACAAAAGAACAGATACCAGCGTCACTTTCTCGAACAACAGCAAACACATCTATGAAAATTAAGTCTTAAATGTCTCACATTTACCCAAACTTCTGACACAGTAATGCTCCAGCTGACCACTGCAGCAGCCTAACAGACAGTGAAACGTCTGAAAGAGAAACAAAATTCCAAATACCTTTTCCATTGAACCCTGCATTCTGAACTGCAGGGCAAAGAAAAATATGGATCTCTTGGCGTATGTGTGTGAGGATGTGTAAGAAAGATAATTCAGAGCTGTTTGCAGGCTCAAGAACAGGAAGCACCTCTGATGACTTCACAGTGAAAGTCCCTTGAAGAACCAATTACTGTGTATGTACTGCGTACGTACCACTGTTGCCTCCCTTTTCCTCTTGCTTGCTCACCTCTGTCTCCAGACCTCCTTGCTTCAACAGAATAGCCTCCTACTGTAAATTTATTCTATGAAATGTAAAATCATACCTGCTACAGGCAGCTCCAAAAGTCTTTTCCACATCATAGCCTAGTGCTCTCTTGAATAACGTTTATGATTTTCTTAAGTATCACTTCATACCAATGTCTTTACATTTTCCTTTATTCTCTAATTTGTACATCTGCCTGTAAAACTATTTTCTCTTCAAATTGTACTTCTAGAACCTATTCTCTTCATTCATCATGTCTCCTGATGGTATTAATTCCATGATTTTAATTCAATCCAAAAATTCTTCCTTTTTTTTTTTTTTTCCAAAATCCAGCCTTTTATTTGGAATGCCATCATGAAGTCATTCAACAGAAAAATCAAATCGCCATGGAAAAAAACCAGCCATCCTCCATCATAAGAAATTATGCTCTCCACTTTCAGGCAGAATGCAAAGTGCCTCAACAACTTCAATAGAATTTTGACCTCTAAGTAACTTTCTCAAAGATTTTAGAGCAATTAGATCTTCATAATTATATATTTCGCAGCTATTTTTACAAACCAAGCCATGAAAACTCTTCTGATAAGTAATGGGAATTTGGAGTTGAGTTCAACTCTGCCACTCATCTACAGCACCCCTTTTCATCTGCCTCTCAATTATCCTTCCTGACACAATGGAATGGCTAAGGTTCCCTGTAAGGGCACATGAAGTAATCGCTGGTGCCCTCTACCCTCCACACACGTGTTAAAAATTGTTCATGATTAAAATAAAGCTTGCAATAATTTGTGGTCTTAACAGACAGAAAGATTTCTAATGGGACTGTTGTTATGTTTTAATACAGTTTTCCATGTACAAGGAGACTTACAGAAGAAAAAAAAAAAAGTAGAAAGATTTTTTTTTTCCCCTCAAGATATTCACAAATTAACTGTACTTTTAAGAAAACAGCATCTTCACTACAAACTGTGTTATTTAGAGAGGGATTGGTCAGCTATAACAAACTTATTGGACTTTATATTCAAGGTGACTCTCAGATTGAGGAAGACTCTAATGTAGTTTTAAATATTTAGAGAACAGCTTTTGTCTCACAGAATTGCACAGCTTTATATTAGAGTTCAAATTAAATAAAAATACTGTCAATACACAACCTGCCCCAAAACAGTTTCTCTCCTTTACCCTAAAGTGCAGATTTTCGGAGATTTAGTAAGAAATGGGGTGCACATTTTCCCCCTCCATTCCCTTCCATCTCCTTGAGGGTGCCACTTCCTCCTAATCCTCCCCTCTTCTCTGGCAATGACAAGAGCAGGCGCTGGGATGCGAGCACATTTGTCCCCACAGTAGCACTTGAGGCTCCCACGTCCCCCTGTCATGGCTCTGCACATTTGCTACCTAACTGCTTCCCCAGCTTGGCTCCACATATGCAGCACTACTGATGCAACATGGAGTAACTTCGCTGCGTGTGTACACACAACCACACAGCTAGGAAAGGAAAAAAAAATATATATATATATATATTCATATAAATTGAAAAATGAAACTCCCAAAGACTCTCTGAAGTTGCAGTAACGGACGTACATAAATCCCCTTTAAGCAATCTACTGTAGTTCTTGGATCAGTGGTAGAGAGAGAGGTTTATGGAGATGTATAGACACTAACAGCACAGGTCTGCAATGGAATCTAGTAGCACAGACCTCCAGGTCCAGGACACAGAGGCCCAATATGCACAGATATGCACATACACAAGTCCAAAACAAACAAACAAATAAATATTTCTAAAACTTTAAAGAGCTATCTTAAAAGCAGCACTTCTGTAAGTTATTTAGCATACTACATGGAATACAAAGTAATATATGTATTATGAAGCTTATTTTACAGGCAATTGGTTGGGAAGATCCACTTTAATTAATCTCAACTAGTTTGGCCATGAATAAACCTTCATATAAGGCTTCTATAAAACCTCAGAAAGCACTCTGGAGATAAAGGAAAAACACTTACAGAGAAGAGAAAATATTATGAATGCCATGCAATAGACTGCAGGCTAGTTGTTTTATTGCCTTTGAAATACAAGCTGTTCCCAGACCACACTAGTGGAACATAATCACTAAATAGCAGGTCAATGTAGGGGTAGCTACCTTTCTTTTCAGGACATCCAAACTACACTGTCTCACAAGATAATCTGTTTTCTGTCCCGCAGCTTCAATGGAGTGTTGTACTGCAATATGTTATGTTTTCAGATATAGAAAATGTTACGATATAAAGGCTGATCCTTAACCCGAGCAGGATAGCATACGAAACGTATACACACAACACAAGAACAGTGCCACTTTGTACTCACTCTTACAAAGTTGTCAGGGAACAAACCTCTTCTGCCTTTGAGCTGTCCTTCCCACCAGCCTCCGTCATCTTTCCTGATATTGGTGATTATGTCACCTACAGTGATCGTCAGCTCGTCATCGTGTTGAGCTTTGTAGTCAAACTCCACTATCGCCTCCACTAAAAGAAAAGAACACATATTGCATAGTTATTGACTGTACATTTATTTTCCATGCCTTTGAAAGGAATATGAAAGCATTAATGCAGCTACAGACTCTCTGTGAAAGTAATATATTCAGTTCAACTGCGAGACTACAGCAAATAGGCCACATTTAATACTAATATTTTGTGGATAGCTACTACAGGAAGGCCAAAGAGAAAACCTCAGGAAGGCCCATTATAGCTGAGACAGCAAATGGCATGCATTTTTCTTTGCCGATTAAAAGAAATTGATTTGTGCTACTTTAGCAGTATCTACTCAGCTGGCAGCACTGCAATGTTGATTTTTATTTCTTGGACAATGTTTTAGCCTTTGTTTGCAGGACTTGTGAGGCATTTTATTTTTGGAAGTGCTCTCAAATCCATAAATATTCTGAGCCACAGTCACCACACTGTTATGCCACTCAATGCACCACTATTAACCTAAAAGCTATTTTTTTTGTATTATGCCATATTTCACTGTTAGTTTTACAGTAAAGCAGGCCCCCGCCATATCAGCACACTCTCATAGTATTTCACTGTTGGCAGGATAAATTCACTTTTACTTGGGTTTACACAGCAGAGGATGTGAGGATAAAGTATTGCTATGGCTCCACATGTCAGCTAACATGTCAGCTATAGTGTGCTATACGCTTGCGACCACCTATACAGCATGCCCTTTGCCTTTCCTGGAAGGAACCCTGACACCACACATGCAACAAGGTTCCCATAGATTCTCTCCCAAACACTATCCAATCACTGTAGCGATTTAGGGAAGTCAGAGGCAGAAAAAAAATATATATATATATATTTACAGTACATATATTGACAGTTCATCACGTATCTACTACAAAGAGCCCGAGTGGCTAAAGGATAGATATATTTGTAACGCCTTTTCTCTTGTTTTCTTCAATGGAGAACCATGCCCCAGGATGTTCCACCAAAACATTTAGCACTTCAAATGTTGAAAGAGGAAAACAAGAACTAGTTTTGCTCTCTGTCCAAGTGAGTGGCCATGGGAACCTGGCGAGACCTGGCCCTCAGAGAAGCGGCGCAGCTCCCGCAGCAAGGCCAGGCACCACCACAGCAAGGGCTCTGCCGCAGGAACAGGAGCCCTGAGGGCTACACCCAACTAAGCTGACAGAAGGCAGTTATTCCTTCCCCCCTGCAGAAGGTCGCACAGACACCCGGCAAACGCTTCGCCTCCCCTCTGCCAGTCAGCGCTAACAGAGCGCCCTGGCCTGCGGGTGCGTCCTGGGCAGCGGCGGCGGCCGAGTGCCACGTGTGCACCCTCCGAGCACCCCCGGAGCCCCCGAGGCACATTGCTCCCCTTGCTGCTGCGCTCCGCTGCAGCCGCAGCTCGGTGCAGCCATGAAAAGCCACAGCTGCTTTTTCTCACAATGATACCACAGAGCTCGGAACTGTATCCGCAGAGCTAGAAACGTCGAAATGACAAACCCACTGTTCTCCGTTTGAGCCTAAAAGCCACTGCACTCTGTTTAACTGGAATTTGTCATTTGCTCTCCTGTTTCTCCTCACCTATCAAATCACCTACAAACACTTGCTCTGCAGGAAAAGGGCCAGATATAAAACCTCTGGGAGCAAAGGCAAACACAGCAGCGCACACCGATTGCTTCTACCGTGAAACCCCAAAGCACACTGAAACCACAAATCTGATGAACGCAAGGGTTAGGCAGCTGCTAACTCCATAATGACCAGGCTGGGGGGAAGAGTGGCACCACATATGAGCAGGTGACACGCAAACAGAACTCAAAAAAAATAACCACAAAGGCTTAACTTAAAATCACAGCTATCACAGAGGCTGCAAGGGACCTCAAGAGGGCTGTAGTTCACCTTCCCCCTTCTCAAAGCTGCAGAGCAGGTTGCTTGGGACACTGCCCACTTGGGCTTTGAGCATCTCCCACACCAGATACCACCCTCTCTTGGAAACCTCTTCTGGGGCTTCAACATCCTCTCAGTAGAAATAAACAAGCAAACAGAAAGAAATCTCATGTTTCAAAGGGATTTCTTTTATTCCACTTTGCACCCAGTTCCCTCCTGCCCGTTCACTTGATACCACAAGAGGCTCCATCATTCGACAAGGATTGAGACACTTGGACCAGTTCCTCCAGGAGCCTTTTCTCTTCAGGCTGACCAGCCCCAGCTCTCTGAGCCTCTCCTCCTGTGCCAAACCCTCCAGTCCCTGCATCATGAGGCAACGCTGTGCCCAAAGCCTCCAAGGACGCCGTTGGCCGCCTTGGCCTCCAGGACACACTGCTGGCCCTCATGCACCTTGTCCACCAAGACCCCCAGGGCCTGCTCTCCCGCGCTGCTCCCCAGCATCCAAGCAGGGTTGCTCCTCCCCAGGATCAGTTCTGGGACCTCACTTCTTGAGGTTCCTCTTTGCCCTCTTCCTCAGCCTGTCAAGGTCTCTCAAAATATCAGCACAACCCTCTTCTGTACCAACCATTCCTGTAAGTTTTGGATCCTCTGCAAACTTGCCAAGGTGTGCCCTGTCCCATGGTGCAGGTCATGATGCAAAGATGTTCCACAGCACTGGCGCCAGGATCGATTCTCGGAAAGCACCATTAGCGACTGGCCTTTAGCTACACCTCATGCCTCTGAGCACAAACCTCTGAGGCCAGCAGTTCCATCAGTTTTCAATCCTCTTCACTGTCCCTCCTGGACTTGTCTAGGAAGATGTTATGGGAGACGAGGTCAAAAGCCTTGCTAAAGCTGAGGTAGACAACACCCACTGCTCTTCACTTAGCCACCAAACTAGTCAGCTCATCACAGAAGGCTGGTTGGGTGTAATTACTCCTTTATAATCCACAGTGGCTACTGCCAATTACCTTCTTGTTCTTCATGCATTTGGAAATGGTTTCCTGGGTTTTCTGCTCCATCACCTTTCCAAGCATCAGGATGATCAGTCTCTAGTTCTTCATTTTTGCACTTTTTGATGGCAGGAATCCTGTCCAGGGACCTGAAGACCCTGACAACCAGTCCTACCAGTAAAGACTGAGAAGGAGAAAGCATCGGGTAACTTCTGTCTACTTGTCATTTGGACCAGGATCTTGGCCCATTCTGCAGCAGGCTCACTTTTCCCTAGCCTTCCTTTTACTAGTGGTGCATCCACAGAAGCATTCCTTTTGCCCTTGATACTCCTCACCTGATTCAACTCAAGTTGGCTTTGGCTTTCATAAACCTTTCCTGTACACCTGGATGGTGTCTTTATATTCCTCCCAGGACCCCTATGCCTCCTCCTACCTCCTGTAAGATTTCTTTTATGTCTGAGTTTTGTCAGGAGCTCCTTGTTCACTCTTACCAGCTTCTTGTTACCTCTGCTGATTTTCCTGCTCGTGGACATGAACCACTTCTGAGCTTCAAGGAGATGATCCCCCAGGAAGGGAGCAAAGATTTGGGCTGGCTTCAACTACAGATTCTTCAAATATGGTTTATTGATATCAGGTTGCAGCAACATATACAAATGAGTCTTTGAAGTCTTAAAAGAGATCCAGTACCTATACCTATTGCTATGTTTGCAACTTTCCTGAAGATGACTGCAAAATTGACATCATTCTCAACAGTTTCATTCTCCTTATTTTCCTGAAGACAGAATCACCAGGGTTGGTGATTTGACTCTACAGCTACTTGGGACATAAGGACATGGAATCATCTTTCTGAAGCTCAGGGCGTCTATCTTGCTACTACTACTACTTCACATGCAGACAGCTGCATGCGTGCAAACACTTTGTTTTACTGGAAGTTTAATTAAACAAGCAACCCCCCCCCTTCACAGGCTTTTCTCTTTGTATAAATATTTCCACTTATTAAAAAATAAATAAATATTTTTAAAAGCTGTCTCCTCTCAGATTATGTAATTGCTGTAACACAAGCTGATGGAGACATACAAATCACCAAAAATGAAGCACCCAATCAAGATGTTTATAAACTTCCAACAGGAAACCAAGAGTACAGTTTGGAAGAAGGAATAAGAGCACACGTAACGAATGTGCAGATTATCACAAACTAACGAGAATGTGCTTTGGAGATCACTCGAGTTTTCATTCATCACATTACTGATGCCTGTAGAGCACATAACAGCCTAAAAGTGTTTCATAATTTATAGGTCCACGGAGCTGTAGTTTTAACTGCAAATCCATTTTTTAAAGGCACACTCAAGGATTTTCATGCCACTTTCTCAAACTATACTTTGAAAAATTAATTCTGCCACTCAAACTTAACCTCATTTGTTTCCTTTGAGGTGAAGTTTTGTCTCCAGGAACCGCATCGCCGCTGCAGTCTGGACAGATGGAGGCACGTTAAGGGAAGGGCGGATGGGAGGTTTGTCTGCAAGCCCCTTGCTCCTGGCGTGCTGTTGGAGCTCTCTGCTTGGGAGCTGGGCTCGGAAAGCAACCCAGGCTACACAGTGACTCGGGAGCGGAAAAAACGCTCTGACAGGGACCTCCAACTAACTCTATTTGTTAACCAAAAAAAGGCCCAACTCTACCAAGGTAAACGGCTTGTTTTACTGAGAGCCACAACCCGCTACCTTCTAAGCCATGAGCGAAATAAAAAGACAAAGTTGGGTCAGTTTTGGCTTATCTTTTTGGCACCCTTTTCTTTAAGATATTTCACTCCATGATGCCTGAAAGTCAAACCTTTCTCAACTCTTCAACACTAGCTATTAGGTTTTTCTTCTATCAGTGGTGTGAACCAGGAGTTTAAACATAACCTTTCAGCCATATTTAAAATAAGATTAACTGGAAAAAAAAAAGTTGATAAAAAAACAATTCCAGAAACTTTAAAGCTCCAATTACTGCCACCTTTCATTCTCAGAATTAGTCTTATGTATGCACCTGGAATGATTTTGTTGGCAATTACAGAAATTTTTTATTGATCATTGTTTATTATTTTCTTTGCAACAATTTAAATCGCAAGTAAAACCTAGTCTCTCAAAACTGTCCTAGTCAGATT